CGGTTCTATCGGTCCGAAGCAACGACATACCGGGTAACTTGATCTCACAGTCGGTTATCTCAGGGTTTAACCATGTCTCTGTGTGGTGTTGATGACGCAATGCACCAGTATGTCAGTGGCTTCCTTATTGGAAGCAGAAAGCAAATAAAGGTGGATGACTGCCCAACAGAATGGTACCCGTCCAATACCCCAAGGCGCAGTAATGGAGCCCATTTTATTTCTGGTCCACATCAACAAAGTATCTCAGGTTGTTCGGTCGCCCTGCACATTATTTGCGGAGGACCTGAAGATTTGGGGATTATTGATTCTCCCAGCGACTGTGAGGTACTTCAGCAGAATCGCGACCACGTATCCCGATGGTCTGCAGAAGTGAACCTACCGGTCAACCCGGCCAACTCCTCGTTTATGAGCCTGGGAAGGGGTAGTAATGGGCGTGCGTACACCCTGGCCGTCCACGCGCTGCGTCCCACCAGTTCCGTAAAGGATCTAGTTCTACTTACACGCCGTGATCAGAAGTCTGTCGAAAACACGAACAGACTGGACGCAAACAGACTACGCCTACTTTGGGCACTTATCCGCAGTTTCCGCTCTTTGTCTGAAGAGATTGCCGCCCCTCCGTTCTCTTTCCTAATAACACCGGTGATTAAATACGGATTACCCGCCTATTGCCCGTTCACAATGGGTCTGCAGAGACTGGAACAAGTCCAGTATGTAGCTTATCCCCAGTTTACGGAGTATGTCGTAGGAGGACCAATATGGGGGAGACTAGCGCTTCGTACCCTGTCAAATCGTCGGTTTCGAGTTGATCTCAATATGACGCACCGGATACTGCATCTGAACCACTTCCCTAGGAATCCGCTGCTGCACGTTCGCGCACCACTCAGCACACGCGGACACCGGTACAAACTAATATTACCGACTTTAAAGGATATCGCTCATCCTCTATGCTTCGAGTGGTGAACTATTGGAACAAATAGCCGGAGACGCTAGTCGAGGTGAAGTCGGTGTCGGAATTTAAGTGATTCGTTGACGCCCACTTTGCGGACTACAGGTTTAGGGAGCGCATCGCGCCCGGATAATATGGAATGCAGATGCAATATGCTGCCACCGCGCACGAATCAGCGACGTGATTCCGCCTATGTGTTCGTTCCACCTACGACAGAGCACCACAGATGTTTATCTTCCTGCTCTCTATTCTCAGTATTCAGTACTCACTTACAGTTTGGTACCTAGCACTAAATCTATCCCACCACTAGAATATACTTTGGATTTATTTGCTGTTACATGTTTGTGCTGTGAAACCACACGGACGGCAGGACTACAGCGAAACAAACGAAAAGTCCCTCTTTCATGCGTCAATAATCCACTACTTCTTATTCTCGATAACCCTGTAAATCTACCCAATGGGACATGTAAATCATTGCTTCTTAACCTGTATAAATGCGTTGTTCATTGTTCAACACACTTCAGTACAGAAGGATGGAATGTATGGAAAAGAGAAATACTAGACATTAGGAGATACAAAAGGAAGAAAAACGTAAAATAATGCCAAGTATCATAATACCCATGGAGTGTGAGGTCGTCATTAGAGGGAGAAGATAAGGGGGAAGGACAAAGAAACCCAACACAAAGGCCTTCGTGATCGCCTGCTTCACATGTCAACAGGTGTACCCAACCGGACGTTTTCATCGTCTAGCAAACCCCAGTCTGGTGGTCAGGAGACAACCACCGAGGCCAAGTTCGTAGTGAGATCTTTTATTCCTCTTAACAGTTCGTTACATAGCCTCCACCTCTTCTTCCCCATCCAGATCCCGGTAGCACAAAGAGCGCATTTAATGGAATCGGTGTTCCGGCCTGCGCAACATGTGACCTAGCAATCGAAGCCTGCTGCATGATAAAACGGTATTGCGCAATTCACTTGCTCGTCTTGCTCCAAATACACGGCATCGAACACGCTCATTGCTGACGCGGTGTTCCCCCTAAAGGTGATCTAAACTGCAAAGGTAACTATGGCCGGACGTAGCTAACCTATTTTCTTCTGTAGATCTGATGGGCCGTTTCGCAACTACACAGGAGGGTAGAACGCACGCCTATATTGCAAGCTCTGCCTTCCAGAGCGAGAAAGATGTCGCGACGTCGCCACGATTGTAGAAGATCGGCAAAATCACGACGAGTTTGTTCCATGGAGCGTAACATCATTTTCTATTCCATAGGCGCTTACGCAGCTGCGCAGAAACTTGTATTACTTAAGGACGTTTAATTGATCCCTACCAAGAGTCTGAACAAGGGTAGGTTCCTGCCAGACTTGGAGAAGAACTTTGCATTCTGAGGATGCAAGGCAAAGCCTTACCCGACTGACAAACAGTGCTAGTCTGTTCAGTGCTGCTTGGCGCTTTTGGGAGCTGTTGCATATTAGGTCAATGTCGTCGGCATACTACAAGTCAAGGAGTCGCTCACCAGGAAGCAGCTAACCACCCCGTAGTTCGGGTCTAGTGAATTCGTCGATGGCGAAGGTATAGGAGAAAGGTGACAACGGACAACCTTGTCTCGCATGACTCGAGATATTGAAGAGCGGCGGCAGTTTGCCATAAGCCTCCACCTGCCCAAACCTTGTGCGTACAGCATTCTTGTGACATTTACCAGCTGCGATACTTCCGATGACGTTCGCTCAGAACACCATAAGGACAAATGTACAAGTAGCTACCTTGTAGGCATCCTTTTGCTCGTAAATAACTGAACACACAATAGACTCTAAAAGTCGAAGTTAATGCATCAAATCTGCCTGAACGCACTTAGTTGAAAAACACGTGGCGCCATTTCAACTTTATATTAAGTGTGGACGGGGGTCCTGACATCAGAGATATCCGTCCAAGTTAAGTCAGCCCAGATGCATACCGATTATGTTTTCTATTGTATAAGTTGACGGTTCAGGCTTACTTACGATTGTGGGTCATTAGCACATGATTAGAGGAACCACATCATCATCATCATCCTCATCCTCATCATCATCATCAAGGTCAAGGCCACAGCCTTCGGTTTGAAAATACGTTCGCTCTGCTCTCAGGCCAGTTCTTTGATTATTATTGTGTCATATATTGTTATATCTTGTCGTAAGTTATATAGTTTGATATAATATTTGATTCTGCGTTACCCGGTGATATATTTAGATATATTTTAGCGGTAATTTTCTCGTTTTTTGTCCTCCTAACCATTTTTTGATCTTAGTGGAAGCGTACCCTTATCCTGTTAGGCCAATTTTATCTGGTTGATTTTATTGTTATAACAGTGTCCTCCTCTAATTCACATAATTAATTCTAGCTAGTCATTTAGCGTTATACTTCGTAACTATCTGTAATAATTCAGCATAACTTCTGTATCTCTTAATTACACCCATTTGCTGGTATCGATCGTAGTTATTTTTAAAATGCCGAAGCAGTCTCCCTGTGGAATTTGCTGCAAGATCGTCGGACATAGAGCTAATGCAGTTTCATGCAGTCTCTGCAGCGCAAAGCTTCATATTTCGTGCGTTGGTCTGACTGTAGACCAATTTCGTACAATTCAGGGCATTAAGAGCGAATTTTTGAAGACCGTTTGTAAGCAATGCCAAGCTAATCTTGTGCAGAATAAAACGGACACGTCTAACAAGCGGATCAACACAACGAAGTGCTCTAGAATGCCCAGCTCGCCTTGTGCTTCACCACAGTCAGTGAAGCAGCCAACGCCTAGTACCTCATCGCATCCATCGCGGAAACAAGGTACTAAAGTTCCATCAGACTCTCCCTCAAGACCTACTATTTGTTCAGCTGACAGTAAAGTTCCAATGTGCGATAAACAAATTAAGGATAACGATTGGAGAGTACAAACATCGAAGAAACCAAGACCAATATCTAATGACCTGAGGCGCCGTAGCCTCATGATCTTTTACGCACCTGAGTCCGGTGATTCTAATCCTCAGGTGCGTTATGCACATGACGTCGAATATTTGCAATCATTGATTGACAAACTACTCGATGTAAATGAGGACGGGCTCAAAGTTCAGCAGCTTGTGGAAGCTAACATCGGGATACTAAGTCGACGGTATCAATAGAAGAGGATAACTAAGCTACTAATAACACAGGTAGCATAGTACCAGGACATATGGACGTGGGAGAAAGATTTGCTGTTCGAGACACCACGATTATAGGTTGAAGTGTAGAGCCCGCTTTAGTGATATAGACAAACGAGATCGTGCACCAAAAGAAGTCGACCTTTATTGAAGCGTCATTCAATGGTGATCATCATATTATGAAAATTACCGAGAAACATATTAGTATTCCAGTGGAAATAGTGTAAAATTCAACCGAACTACAGTTGCGCACGTAAACTAGACCTCTGCGTATGTGTTCCAACACTGTACGGGCGTGTGACGGCTGTCTGAGTGAGTCTAGATGTGACGAATTACTACCTATAACACTCATCTCCCCTACTACTCTTCTGTAATCAGTACGCAGACCAAACTGCTTATAATGCCATAAGTTAAATGGCGGCTTAAGTTGGGTAAGCGCGTCGTTTGGTGAGGGGGCTACCCTGTCCTCTACACGGCAGTAGCGTGTAAATCAGTGGATAGTGAGCGGCGCTATATCACATCTAGTAACTTATTCACGATGGTCGTTGCCGTCCCCCGTGGCTCAGTGGTCGCAACCACGGACTGGCAACAGTCGAGTTGCGGTTTCGAGCCCTACCAAGGGTCCGATGGAATGCGCACTGCTGGTGATTCCCGAAAGGGTGAAACGCGCGTACAGTGCTTTTCCGGGCGTGTGGCGGCTGTCTGAGTGAGTCTAGATGTGACGAAGTTTCTATCTATACCATACAACTCCCCCTATTACTCTTCTGAAATCAAAAAAATCATCATAAAAAATGATCCTTAAATATATATACAAGGCGGACTTCTGGATCAACACTATGAAAGTGAGAGCAAAGATGGTAAAGCAGAGACAGAGGGTTGGCGTGAAAGTTGGGATTTAGGCTTGGGTTACTTCCAGCTCCGGATCCGTGAAGCCGAGCTGTTCCGATTCCAACACAGTCCCGGCGGGGACACGTTGCAAAGCTGCCACTGCGCAGCTTTTCAAGTGACAATCTGACTCCGTGGTCACTTGATCGCCAAGCACACAGCCTTGAATGATACAGCTAAACAGATGAAGTGTGGAAAGAATAAGCAATGTAAATACAAGGAAATGATTAGGCAAACTATGAAATGTGGCAGAATAGATGATGATAAGGATGTGGGAAGATGTGACACACCATTGTAAACACGGACTGGCGCTGATTGCAGCTATCGCACATGAAACCGATGATGCAGGTAGCTCACAGCGAGCCGAATGATCAAACTGATGGGCATCAAAACACGAAAATACAATTCATCACAAAAAGTACGTGATACGTTTAGGTTTCATAAAAGATACGCCGTAATGCTTTTCAATTGATCCACTAGCCTGAGTGGTTGAAGGAACCAAAATAAGTGTGTAAGATCTTGCTTTTTTAAATAAAGATTCCGTACTTGTTGCAGCAACAAACGCTAGGTTAGTGAATTCAACATCACGATATTCGGCACCACAATAATATAGGGCATTCCCAATCATATCGGAGTATCTTACAAAGGATAAGATTGGCCACAGTGATCATCCGAAGGACTAGTTTACATCAAACTTGCCAACGGCATGAACACAAATTTTACACTAGCTTATGTGGAAACGCGTTATAGTCCAAAACACAAAAATTGCGTAATATATATGCCAGATACTGCCTTTTAGTTGTGGGACAGTTCGTAAGCGGAAATATTAAAAACAGCGACAGAAATTATCGCAGAACTCAGTTCTTCAGAGACAAACGGTTTGCTCGACGAAGCAAGCTCAGCAAAAATGACGACATAACCAGCATATAAAGACTAACGATGGAAATAATTAGGTCAATTCGGTAACTAACGACGCTTCTTCATTCCTGAGATTCTTTCTCTGAATCAATTAAACAAACCCGCTCCAGTGTAGCCAACTACGAACCAATCAGCGGATAGACGAAATACACGTAGGCGTCCAATCAACTGCTCCGTTAGCTTGCGGAAAGTTAGGCGCTTGCGTGGTCATGTAAACCCGTGTCGCTCTTCTGCTTGCACGATCGCATCACATCCTTCCCTTTATCGAGATCATTCGCATCGATGTCGCTGAAGACTCCGTACTCTCGTCCGCCCCGCTGTCTTTGTTGCCCCTGTCGTTGTGACCACTCCGTAAGCCGTCCAGTTCGTTGCATCAAATTCATTTTCTTGTTCCCGATGTCGTGTCAGTCGCACTCGGTACTGCTGAGTACCTTCCCTCCAGTACTGACATCATAAAATCTTTCTCTGACCTTTGCAGCCACTACAGCTTTATTCCACTGTTCGCTGACACCCGGTATTGGTTGGATCCATATTTCATTATTTACTGACAGCTCAAGTAGCACACGGGTCCCGCCCTCGTAATACCGTTTCTGATCTGTCATTTGTTTTCTTAAGCCCCATTGCAGTTGCTCATACGATGGCAGGATGGGGTGTAAGAGATCAGCAGACAAAGCATTAGGGTTTTTGTCCTTCTGCTGTACAAACGTTGCACTGGACTGAGACCGATGTTCAGTACTGGCTTGTTGCGAATCACCAACAGCATTAGATAGGGAGCGTCATGGATGACTCGAGCCTTCGTGGTTTGTGTAACCACCACCTCTGCATTTCCGTTTGACCGGCTGTGATACGGGCTCGTTTGTCAATGCGAAAATTTTCGTCCTTTTGCAAAACGTAGCACTTGTAAACTGTGACCCATTGTCGGAGATCAGTTCTTCCGGTATTCCGTGTCTAGTGAACTAACATCTAAGCTTGTAGATGAGCGCTTCCGTAGTGGTAGCGGTGAGTGAATCGATCTCGAACTAGTAGCTGTAGTAGTCCACGGTGACTAAAGTCTTTCTGTCATGATCTATCTGGAACCTCACGCACCATCAATGATTCCCTGGCTTATCGAGTCAAATAAGACCGATGAGCGTGCTTCAGCATCTCTTTGCGAAACCACGGTGGGATCGAAATGCGATTTCCTTTGAATGGCAAACCGTCATTCAGTGTGAGTTCATCCCGAAAGTTGACGAGTAGCATTAATTCTTTTCTTCGCAATGCCATGCACGTCGAGTCTGTCTCCGTATGACATCTTGTCACTTACAGGTGTGCTGCACCAACGTATCCTGCAAATGTCGTTCAGATGTCTCTTCAACGCGCTGCAGCACATTGGGAGTTAGCTTCTCCTTGTAGTTACCCACACATTTGCGCTCAGAAATGCTGCCTTCTAGCCTGTAGGCATTGATGATGTTTCTTGCGTACTTTCGTTGATATCGGTGACTTGAGCAGTCTCATGGATAAATTTGCCGTCAAGGAAAATAAACTTCCTGAGGATTTCTTTCTGCGCCAAAGATGTTCATCTGTGTAATCGCCGCCTCGGAGTTGCGTCCGGCCGTAGTTCGTCGCGAATTTCGGTCGTTTCATGTAGCACGTGGTCGGGTTCGATGGAGTCCAGAGAGCCGGCAATGCTCCAATAACCGTGCAACTGCATAGGTTCGCCCACACACCCACACAAAAATACGCGAAGGCTTCTGTAGTGACAGGGGAAATCTGATTAACCAATTTTGATGGATGTGAGCGACACTGTAAGAGAAAAATAATGGGCAATCAGCGTGATCATTAGTATCGCACACATTCATCGAAATCGGTCAACCAGATTTCTCCTGTCACTACAGAGGCTTCCGCGCATTTTGTGTGGGGACGTGGGCGAACTCACGCAGCTGCATGATTCCTGAAACCGTGTAGTCGGGCATAATTCTAACAAATGCTGCATACCTTTATTGGCTTAATGTTGCAATTGCGAATAAGGCAACGGGACTATTTGTAGACCACAATGTGGTCTGTCACTACAGAAGCCTTCGCGTATTTTGTGTGGGTGTGCAAGCGAATCTATGCAGTTGCACGGTTACTGGAGTATTGCCGGCTCTGAACCATATCGAACCCACCATAACTATAGTAGCCTTGTGCTACATGAAACGGCCGAAATTGGAGATGATCTACGACCGCACGCAGCTCCGAGGCGGCGATTACACAGACGAACATCTTTGGCGCAGAAAGAAACCCTCACGAAGTTTATTTTCGTTGACGGCAAACGTACCCATGAGGCCGCCCAAGTCACCGAGATCAACCAAAGTACAGCAAGAAACATCATCAATGCCTACAGGCTGCGATAGATTCATCGGGGATAGAGCAATCGTATGGCGTGATGCTTTAGTTCTTAGCCGAGATTCATCATTCACGCGTGCCACCATGACTCAAGGAAATGTAAGTCATCTTGTGTGAGCAATAAGGTATCGTGTAGCTCGTCACACTTAAGCTGCGAATTATTTATCAACAAAGTTCATCGCGCTCTTTCTGACCAGTTTCTCAAATAACCCAGCGAGTATTGCAGTGTGGCGGATTGCATATATATATATATACATATATATATATATATATATATATATATAATACACAATCTGTGGTACAGATATTGTGCCATCGGAATCATGGCCGAATAGGAAAACAATGTGAAAAATAAGAAAAGAGCAAAAACAAATGCTTTTTTGTCTATTTTACCACTCACAGTTTTTGAAATTTTTTTTCAGTTTGTTCTTTTTTTAAGGGGAGGGAGAAGGGACACCGCAACAAACCGATGCACATGTCCGCCATTGACATCGATCTTGAGCCATAACTTCCAAAGTCTTCAACCAGCAAGTATCCTCATCTCTCGGACCCCAACCAGGTAGTCGACAACAACCGGCCGAGGCCAACTGTTTTGTCAACTTTTTCATGCGGCTTCTCCATGTTGTAGGCTGTCCACCAGACCGTCTCTTCCAGCCCTGTCCAGCAAGTGCAAACAACGCACGACGGGGGTAACGCTGGACAGGCATGCGCAATACGTGTCCCAACCACCGCAGTTGATGCAGTGAGATGAGCTCCTCGAGCGAGTGGCTTTCTCGTCCCAAGACACGCTGTCTAACTTCCACATTGCTTACGTGGTGCTGCCACCACACACGGGCAATGGACCGCAGACAGCGGTGCTCGAAGACGGATAGCCTGCGCAAGTCATCTTTACGAATGGGCCAGGTCTCGCATCCGTACAACAGTACAGCACAAACAGTTGCACAATAGACCCGCCCTTTGATGGAGAGACGAATGTCGTGGCGACGCCACAAATGCCTCATTCTAGAAAAAGCGAGGCCTGCTCTCGAGATGTGCATCGAAATCTCGTCTCCAACAGCTCCGCTAGCAATGATGCGACTTCCCAAGTAGACAAAGCTCTCCACAACCTCTAGTGTCTCACCAGCAAGCGTGAGTGCAGGCAGAGGCACCTGCCAGTCTTGAAGGAGAGCCTTGCATTTGCATGGCGAAAAGTACATACCGTACTTTGATGCTTCAATAGCCAAGCGGTTGAATGCAAGTTGGACGACCTGTGAATCGTCACCCAGCGGCTGCTAGTTCGCAATCGTTCGTTTGGGACCTCCCTTGTCCCAAGGCATAGTAAATGACGTTTTCCACTGATTCGGGGACAGGGTGAACATATTCATCAGTAGCAGTGGTGTATCATGCCCTCCTAGTTTAATTGTGGTTGGTGAAATACCATACGATCGCGGCTTGGAGGATGGCCCGATTGACGTGAGAACTGAGTGCATACCGTTGAGCGAGATATGGGCTCTGTTTAACAGTTTGATTATTGTAACATCCGTAGTACACAGGCCCAAGCTCCGCTTCGAGACTTATGGTAGTGGCAAAAAAGTCGCTCAATTCTTCACAGATTGCAGCTGGATCATGTAGTACGTGGCACTCACTGAGAACAAATTCAGAAATCAGAGGAGAACAATCACCGGTTTTATGATGCAGTATTTTGGCAAGCTATATGTTCTTCATTTTTTGTTGCATTAACTGTTCACGTTTGACGCTGGTGACAAAGTCATGCCTTTGTAAGATAAGTGAAAAATCGCAGATCTTACTGTAGCTTGCAACTAAATTTCCGGTTTTCTGACTGATTGAGTGTTGAGCAACAGCTATGGGGACATGGGGAATATGATCACATTGTGGCCTAAGAAGGGCTATAGCATGATGAATTTGATCATAAAACTGCTCCACAACAGTATGCACATTGGTGGAGAGGAATACATCCCAGACAGAGAAACCGATTAACCGCCGAAAGTATTCCGTTTATTTTATGGGTTGCACATCGCGGTGTAGAGACGAGTTTAGTGAAGATTTTAATGTGGAGAGTGAGTCGGATCTTTTGTGATCGCTGCCAGGGAGACTGAGTAAGATCTCGGTCTGTGGGTCAAGTATCCACAATGGAACTAGTAAGTCCAATAAATTGGTGGACCTGGTTGGACTGGTAACCCAATGTGCACAGCTCCCTGCTCTGTTGGCGATATCCACGGTAGGCGCAATCGGTGGGTTGTAGATACAGGCGAGCAGTATGTAAGAGGATGAACCTGAAACTGATAGCCAAATGGATTCAGGGACATCTCCCAATTGTGAGTGGTCTATACGTTCAGCTGTAAATCCATAGGAGGCAAGTGCTGCCCGTTGGCCGATCTGTAACAAAGTGCATTCCGACCACAGGGTGATTGTAATCTGAGTGTGTACTCAGTGTGTGGTCCTCATTCATCTACTGATGTATCACATCACTACCCTATGTGTGTACCGCAATACCTATTGCAATTCAAAGACGAATGTTCCTTTGATTGATGTTTCATTAAACGTTTCATCATTGAACCACACCTGTATGACAAATCTTATGAAACATGCCCAACAAAACCAAACGAGCACATCATTAAGGCTCACTGTTCATGTAAGTCCGGGCGGTGTCCAGACCATATGGGAAGAATGTTATCAGGGTGTGAACGCAATGTGGTCTCCGCTTATCTCTTCCCGCATTGTCTTATTGTTCGACGCATGTACACCGTGCTGAAAACATACCCTTAAATGGTGTTTGGTAACGGACCCTCTGAAGCTGCATTGCGCGCCTGTAGAATTCGCAGAACCTTCGGTGGTTCGCGGTCATGTGCTTCTCCGCATGCCTAGACGTGAACTGTGTTCACAAATACTACTACGTCTACTTGTGGGTGAAACTCCGCGGTGATCCGTTAACGATATGGCAAAAGATTATGGAGAAGCTCACCGAAAGACGGAGTTCTCATCGTCTTCTTGGGTCGTGAGATCCTCAGAATTGGTTATACCAGCTGTTGGATACCTTATCTGATAAAAGCGGTCCCCGAGTGAATGGCGTTCTTGGATTTTCGTGCATTAAATATCCTGATTCGTCCCAGCAGCTCATAAGCGACAGTCTGAGCACCAATTTGAAAAAGCATCAGATGGCCGCTTCGCCCTATTGGGCTAGTGGTTTTAGGTTCGGTTCCATGAAGTGAAAGCGAATCGACTGTCTGGTTCTTCTCCGGAGTGGTGATTAGACTATCACGCTTGTGATCTGCTGAGAAGGATCAATATACTTTCATCAAGAATTTTCCTACTCATTAGTAGTCTTAAATATTCCAGGTGTCAACTCTATTTCCTGTCCATTTTTACCTTAAAACAACAGTATTATCAATTACTATGATTGTTATGTTGGCGTCCTGTGACTGGCCACAGGGACAGGCAAATCCAAAACCGCATGTTGCCAACCATAGGTTGGCGACATGAGTTGAGAAAACTGGACCAAGTGCACATTGGTGTGCGGATCATAGTGGGGGCAAGTAGAATTGAAATGAAGCTATCAGCGTAATATGTCGATGGACGGCTATAAAAGTGCTCGGTGCGCGGCACTAAGTGTCATCTGGAAAGTGGATAGGCGATGATAAAACGAGTGGATGTCAGGAAATGTGAGAAATATATAATATCAAAAACAAACTCACCCTTGTTTCACCGTGACACCATTGAGCAAGACTGAATTGATTATTCGTGTATTCGTCTCAACTGTACACCCTGAGCAAATCTTGCTTCCGGTTATCAAAGCCTTGGGATCGATCGCACAGTCCTCCGAGATTTGACTGAAGTCATTCGGACAACCTTTCTTTGTGGAGAGAGCGGTGGTCCCATCAGCGTGGCACTTTTGCAAGTACTTAGAAAGGAAAAAAAACAGGCGAACAGATATTTGTGTAACACTTTGTACAAAGAGCCAGGATTGTTCACGGGCACATGAAAAGTCATTTATGATGAGTAGCACTCGTTCCCGGATGTGTCCAACATAGTAGCGAACGTCAATCTGCTCATGAAGATGAGTACGATAACGTACGTGATGCCGTCTGCACAATCCAAGTATTAGGCGGCTGCAACGAAAGAACGTGGCGCGGTTTCGAGACGTGAAGTAGCCTTGCGCCAAGTCACACAGAAAGCTGATGAAATTAGTCCGTGATCATGACACGGGTTGTTACCCGACCGGGGGGGGGGGGTAGCACGATTAAGACACGCGGAAAGCTGAAGAAATCAGTTCGTCTTCATGACACAGGTTGCTACGCGACAGGCGTGAGTGAGTGCGACTGCAGCTTGCTAGTGCATACCGTTGGCAGATTAGAATCTGCCTAGGCAAGTGAGGTGAGTCAGTCAGAAAAACTGAAGCCGGTGATGATGGCATGTGACTTGTAAAATTAACCGTGTTCTGTTCCTAATACACTTCGGCCTTACAAGCCTCAGTTCTCTGTTTCTTATCCGCGGCTGGGTTTGCGGCACAGAGAGCAGGGGTAAAGGCAGCGTTACAACGTCAAGCCTGCTGGACGATCAGTTAACAGAACGAAACGCACAAGTCAAGGTTGCTACAAGAAGGCTGTTGGTGGTCACGCAATTGTAAGGGGAAAAAGTGGAGTGGACAACATTGACGGAGGGAAACCAAGAGACAAGTAAAGACATGAGATCTACGCCGCCAAGGAAGCGGAGCACAAGAGTCGTCGGACAGACATGTCCTAAGGAGCACTCTTATGCGGTACGTACTGCCAAACATACTCAGCCAAAATAATGGTGACCATTAGCTCAGCTAAGGCAAGATTGGTCGGATTTTGGGAAACCGACTGACATACATAGAGCTAAAGTTGATATATCTGTGGTCAGGGCGTACCCAATCAGACATGCGAATTGTCTCGTTATTAACGACCGAGGTTACGGAAGAGGTAGACAACCAAGCAGCTGCAAACGGTATTATGACTTTCATAGAACATCCATGGCCCTTGAGAAAACGGAGATTGTCAAGAAGGACAAGAAGGAACGGGCAGTTTAATGAGTAAAGAAAGTTCGGTGAGCAAAGTCGAATATGCTAAGAAAAATACATGGTGATTACTCAACAACTAGGCACTGAATTCTGAACTATTGCGCCAAGCACTGCCAGTGGATCTGATCTCAGTGTCAGTCGTCAAACACTACATCGTGAGTTACAATCAGCTATCTCTACCTGATAATTCCAAAGAGGCATAGAACCAGTCGCGGAGCGCAGTGTTGGGAACGAAATCTCTCCACCCGATACGAAATGGTCGAGTCTATTACAAAGTAAACCAACGTCTTAATAGAGACTGCGTGTCGCAATCCAAGGGCACGTAACACATCAGCAATATGCCGGCATGCCGTACCGACGTTCCACTACTGCGTGACTAACAATAGCCACCCGCTGGGTACACCGCGAACTCGCCTGTATGTACGCGGAAACGAATCAGTGATCTTCGGATTACAAGACAGGCATGTAGTCCTTTTGGGCACCGGCTGAGGGATAAACTTTGTTTCATTGCCACCCAGTGATCAAAAAGGAAAAAGTCCTTAGCAAGTCAAGTCAATATAAGCTGTATATACCCTAGTGGGTACATTTTCAGCATTTTAGAATATCAACTGCGGATGCTTTAAAGTAACATCATTAAAAACGCAAAATTGCACAACTGAATAGGCGGTATTAGGTATTGGTAAATCAAATAAACGATCCCGATTCAGCATTCGATACGGAATAGGATTTCCTAAATTACGAAATGCTTTCTGGTAACTTCGCGCAAGATTTCAAAGTCCATTTTCAGAAATCGGCAGGGACAGCGCTAGTGACCTTGGAATTACACTAACAGTCAAAAAGCTGTGGAAACCGATAAATCCCCAAAATATATAGTAAAAGGGTTGTTCCAGGGAGAAGGCAACGGTCGGTTTATAAGCCCCCGCTTGTCAATGATCCAGTAAGGCTTAAGTAGTGGGTGCTCTAGGCAAGAGACCGAAACGATCCCAGGGGGTAGACAAGAAATAGATCCAAAGAACGGTTGTCAGCCGGCGCTACAAGGGTCGGTGTGAATTCGCGGGAAACGTATGTGTGTTCAGATACGGTTCTGGCATCCGCTGCTCCCAGCTGTCTGTATACAAACGCGCAACGCCTTCGCAGCAAATTGGCCGAGCTTCTTGTCAAATTTCAATGTGCTAAGACCTTATCATGGTAACCGAAACATGGCCGAATGACCTGATAACCGACGCCGGGATCACACTACCTGGTGTGTCACCATTGCGCAATGACCGACCCACAAAGGGAGGCGATGTAATTCTCTACTACCGTTCCGACCTACTAATTGACCGCGTAAACTACTCCGGGATTCAAACCATGAATGCCTTATAGTGCTGCTTTCACCTAAGGCAGAGAAATATATGCTTAGTGGCCATCGCATGCCACACACCAATGTCTACTTTAGAAATGGACCAGGTCCTAACCTAAGCTAAGAAGAACCAACTGGAACAATCTAACAGCCAGGTTTTCCTGGTAGGGAACATCAACCAGCACGGCATGTAAACCCCGGCCAGCTTGGGCGAATAATACAAAGCGGAACTGTAAAGCTCAGCGCTGTACAACCATGTCACTTCTCCAACGCGTTTCAGGACAGGAAACAAACCGGCCATCGTAGACATCATTTTACCAAGGAGAAAATCGAGATCGACTTTGCAACGAAGTGCTTAGTACTTAGGTTCCACCTGTTCCTGACTTTCATAAATGATCTCGCGAAGTGCTGCTGAGTGTGATAAAGTGCAGTATCACCATCTCGTGTGCGTACGCATGCTCAATCTCGCGACTGATTGGTTGTATGTTTGTCGAATGATTGTTAATATCATCAGACCTGTAAAGAACCGAGTCATTAAGCAGAATACACCGTTCCAAGTGCGTCGTGGCTTTGTTCTGATTACCGTTCATGCATGTCGAGTTGCGTATAGGCCTACTGCGCTTATTGGGATACAACATTGGCGTCGTGATTACGAACCGCTGAAACGGCATTTTATCTTCCACCTCCGGATTCTTTCTGTTGCGATGCCAGTGCTAAACCTATTGAAAGTGATTGGGCTCAGTGGAAAAGTTCTTTTACGAATTACTTGAATTTACTACAGTCAACTGCTTCTTACAAGGAGAATCAAAAGTTGAAACTTTTTCGTCAGCTTTTAGGCAATGAAGGCCGTTACTTTGACGCATTGGAACTACAAAAAGAGGACACGCTTACAAATGCATTGAATGTGTTGGATCAATCTTGGGGCGGTCGACCAAATGCATTCGTAGAATGTTACAAATGCTGCCCGTGGAGACAAGAGGACTCAGAGCCAATGGAGCATTTCGTTTCCCGTTTGATCCGTGCGGTGAAAACCAGTGATTACACTAAGCATCTCGAAGACTAGATTTGAGGGGAGTTATGCTGACCCGACAGTTAATAGCAGGCATCAGTGATCATCGTATAAGAGAAGCGCCCTACTTCCCGAAGACCCTTCGAAGCTATCCAGACTCAAAACAGGTACGCTCGAACAGTCGCGCCTGTTCAACACAAGTGAAACACGTGAAGTCAATAAACTTCAAAACAAGACATCCGTTCAATCTTAAAAGCTGAATGTTGTGTGGAAGTTCTCACCACAAAGCAAACTGTCAAACATGTCCGGCTCGCACAGTGGATTGTAAAAACTGTGGTAAGCAGGGCCATTTCACCCGATGATGTCGCTTTCGCCGGGTAGCACTAGTTGACCATCAACGGAGGGATGCTTCTGTTACCACAATTGCTGAAAATACCTTTTAATTTAAAAATTACTTCAACCAGAAACCCGACAGACTTTTTGGATGGAGCCCAAGCTCTCTTCCCCTGACATCCGTACAGTTGTGATCCATGATCGCCAGACAACTGTGCTAAAAAATAAAATAAATAAATCGCCAGCAGTATGCCTTAACGGGGCTTCGCTGCCACGCGACCACCAACAGTCGCGCGTGGGCTGAGTATACCGCAAAGACGCTCGCGCCTACGCCGATTCGAACCGGTGACCTTATGGTTGCAAACCAGACGCGCATATTACTCGGCCACCGGCCCATAACAATTATCCCATCTGGCCTTTAGGACAATTACTTGCATGGCAATCTCCTGCATCCAACATCGTACAAATTTGACTCATACACAAACGGCCGTGTACAGATTCGTGGATATATGAGGACAGAACTTAGTCTACACTCGGTCAAATCCGACGTTGTGGTATATGTGTCTTCTGAAAATATTCCAGCACTGCTGAGTCGAAGTGACAAGTTCCTCTTAACATAACACTATTCATCGATCGAATGCGCATCACACGGCTCAAACCCTTCACGCTTAAAGGTCTACGTCCCAAGCTGTTCACTGAAACAAGTGACCAGACTTTTCCAGCGAAAGACAATTACACGCATGTATCTGGGCATGTGAAAAATGGCACAGGTTTCTGTTTGCTTGGAGGCTTACACTGCGTACATCCACTGCGAACATCCAGCTCGTAGACAACCGCAAATTTAACGCCGGAAAACTGTACACGGCCCTAAAGCCGAACGCAGGACCACTGTCCAGAGACGAGGGCGCAAGCGACGTGACCGCCACATCGACTCAAGGCTCAGATTGATGTGCTCATTCAAGGGAGGGATGATGCTGCGGGAACTAACTGACAGTACCACC